CCCCCCCCAAATGCACACACGCGGGCCGCAGCCCTCCTCCAACGCCGCTGCTGCAGTGCCAAAGCGACTCAAAAAGCGTTGAGTCAGACAACCTTCCCGAGGCTCTTACACAATTCAAGGACAAGGACGAGCTGAGGCCACCGTGGCACTGAAAACGGTCTCAACGGCTATTTTGTTTCAAAAACACTCACATTACATCGCTTGATGATTTAAAAAGCCATGTCACTTCGAATTGAATTTATTTCCCCCCCCCCCACCACCCCCACCCAGTGAGGAGGCATGGATGAGACACGTAATTAGGTTATATAAGCGGTGAGTCGCTGCTCGTTATATTACTATACAATTATCAGACAAATGTAGCCATGATGGAGGCTAAAGGTTAACATTTTGCCGCTTCTACATTTCCCACTTTTTTTTAAAACAAACAATAACAAAAAAAAAAGCCATTGAATCAGTCAAAAATAAATATCGGATTTTTTTTTTTTTTTTGACTTGACTGTAAAGAGTCATTGTCCCGCAGGCCCCCCCCCCCCCTGCCTGGCCGCCGCGCACATGCACAAAGCGCCACTGTTGGCATTAATATTCATAGTGCCGCCGCGGCCTGTGCAAGAGGGAGAAGAGGAGGAACGGGTGGCTCTTTTGTTTGGGGCCGTCAATACGTTTATTCAGCAAAAAAAAAAAAAAAAAAAGACTCGCTCGCACGGTGAATGCCTGCAGAGCTCGCCGGGAGGGACGTGGGGGGGGGCACGTGGAGGCCTGGTGGGGTGGACGTTATGATTGACACGGAGGAGAAATGAGAAAAGGACTTTTACATATTTAATAAAAGGACAGAGCAGGAGATGAAGATGTCAAATGGCCACTCCCTTTTTTTTTTTTTTTTCAGCACGCTGGATAGCGCTCGGACTGATAGTATTTCAGTGAGCTGCCGTTTTTCTGAAAGCAGCGCTCGACTGCTGCCTTTTGTTTGGACTTTTGTTTCAAAATGGTCTCTCTCTTTTTAGAATAAAAATCTTGATGGCGGCTGACATGAGCTGTGACTCCTGTCGGCCTTTTTTCTTTTCTTTCTTTTTCTTTTACAGCTGCCACGATAATCCCTAAAAGTGAGGAGAGTGTGCCTAATGCCCTTTGTTTGGGATAATCCCGTAATCTGTGTTATTTAGACGGCTCATTTACACTTCAGTCGAGCATGAGTGTGAGTTGAGAAAAAAAAAAGACGGAAATTTGATAGAATAAGGTGGACCGATTCATTCATATAACAGGGAGGGGGCCGGTTATTATTGCAGGCTGCCATACGCCCCCTTTTCAATGTCAGACTTTCACTTGAAAGTCATTTGAAGGAATATTTTTTAAACTGTGGATCTGTACATCGACATAAAACATTTCATTCGACTAAAAGTACCGGAGTAGAAGCAAATTAAATGTTGAATGTATGTATATTTCTCGTAAACTATTTGGTCATACAAAGCCCTGAAAATGCAACCACTTTGTTTTTGTGTCACTTTGGCTATAGGTTAAAAAAAAAAAAAAATAGACTATTCCCGGTGCTCGCTACACGTTTTTCCTTCGCTTCACATCTCAGTTTCATTTAGTTTCGAGTGATTCTCACAGTGAGCATAACGTGTGATGACTTCCAGTGTACACCACGTAGCCCGCAGTGCCCGCGCTGCATTTGGAGCAGAAGTGAATTGGCAGGCCCGTTTACATGCGACTCAAAGGCAGAGAGGCAGAGACGAAAAACAAGCCCGCTTTTAGGCGTAGTCATACAGCGCTTGACTTTTTTTGTTTGTTATTATTATTATTATTTGTGTGTTTTGTTGTTTTATTTTTTTCTTCCCTTTTGGGTGATCTCCGAGTGTAGGCCGCCGCGTGTGAGCTTGGCAGCGAGCGAGGCAGGAGGAGGAGGAGGAGGAGGAGGAGGAGGACTCTTGTGTTTGCGTGCGAGTCTGGCTGGCTTTTGCGAGAGGAGGCTGGCCTCGTGTTTGCGTGCGAGTCTGGGAGCATGTGTAGGCGATGCTGATGCAGTCGATTAAATATTAAGGGAGAATCTCACTGAACCCCGAAATAGAAGGTGGAGGGGGAAGCGCAGCGGCGGTGGTGGTGGTAAGGGGGGGGGGCACCAGCGCTAGCATAACAAATTGAATTCATTAAATATCTTGAAAGGGGGTTTATAAGTGATCATTTTTAGGCTTTTTTTTAAGTTAGCAAATGGGATATGTTTTGAAAGCAGGGCCGAATCAAAAACAACTTCCGGGTACCAAAGGGAACATTTATACTCTTATTTGTGATTCTTCATGGAAGGAAAAGCCTGACACGAACAAACTCACCATCATCGGATTCCTCACAGATAAAAGAATTGCCCCCCAAAAGGCTTATTAAAGGAGTAAAGTATTCTCTGAGATCTTAATCTGCGGTGCCGGCTAATCTCTGAGGCCAGCTCCTCGCGTTCTTGTGAATTATATAATTTTTCACTCCCCGAATATGTTCTATCCCCACCCCACTTCGAATGCTTTTGTCATATTTGGGACACGCGCAGTTAGTCATATTCCTGCTAGTAGGCCGCGTCACGTCACATAAAACCACAAAAGGGGGCTTGGATTGAAGCAAACACAAGCGCGATTCTCATCAAGGCGGTTTAGAATTAATCGAAGCACAATAACGACGCCGAGTGGGCATCCGCATCCCGACGTGACAGACTTGCCGCAGAGTATTTTTATCTTTGGGACGACGACGCTGCTGTCCCAACGTAGCGATTTCGTCGTCATCTTTGATTGGTCTTGCCATGTCTGTGCTTGCAGTGTTAACACCAGCATACACAAAGGAGCAAAGGTCCGTTCTTATCCGTAATAGACGCGGACGCAAGCTTGGAGTAAGAAAAAGCCACGCAAGGCAGGCATTAGACACAATGCAGTCCTTGATGGGCGGTTGCCCGGGCAACCGGAGCGGAGGTGAGGCTGGGAGGAAGGCTGCAGGTTGCGGCGATGGGGGGGGGCAGGTGAGATGAAGCTATTCATAGATGCTGAAGGAGATGTGAGAACATAGCACACGTTTACTGTACCTGCATGTGCTTAAGAAGACAACTCTGACATTTCATCATGCACACTATTCAATTCTGATCCGATAAAAATCGCCTTCAAAGTCAATCTTTTCATTTTAAAAACTCAATAATCCAACAGGAATTCCAATAAAAACTGGACAACGTGTGCAACCACGGTCATGTTCATGCCAGAAGTCGACTGAAACCATGTCAAAAACGAGTTCATGTTAAATAAACGGTTGAGACGCTGATTGCTAGAATTTGGGTTGATGTTTTCGGGTTGCAATTTGAGGTCGCCTCGCGCCAAGAGAATTCTCTCCGGTTTTTATATTTATACAGACAACAAGCGCGCACCACAGGAAATGTGGCGGCGCTGTCTTTGCAGCGGGCTTTTTGCGCTGGGAAACGACGAGACAAAGACACGGCGAGGGAGCGAGCAAGGGAGGGGAGGCGTTAAAAAAAAAAAATAACAGGAAAAAAAACCTACAAAAAGTGGAGCAGGAAGTTTCGTTTCTGACCGCACAGCTGTTACTTGAGAATCCCCCGTGGAACAAATGAAGCAACACAACGCGGCGAGACACGCAGACACACAAACGCGGCGCCACCACGCTTCCTCCCGCTGCACGCACAGGTGCAAAATATTGCCATTATTTGTTCCGAATCTTGCTTGTCTGCCACCCTGCGTATCGTTTCGCCACCGTGCATCCCTGTGTTGTGATGTAATGGCGTTTGACGTGAGCAGGGGGGGGAGGGGCGGAGAAAGGGAAAAAAAGGGACTGTGACATCTGCAGGACCAGAGGCAGGGAGCAGGAAGAGAAGAAGGGGGAGGGAAAAGGGAGGGGGGGGCTGTATATTAAATCAGCCTGAGCATCCATCTCCAATTTAGCAAGGCTGATTCCTGACCTTTTCCCCGAGACAAAGAGGGAAGGCACTCTTTATGCGCGCGCGCTTATCTGGACGGTTACCATCGGCGTTTGCAGACGCCAAAATGTCAGCCGATCTGACGCGGCGGTCTCCCTCAGCAGATAATCAGCACCATGGAAACCCAGGTGTCCAACGGTCCGAGCGGAACCAGTCTGCCCAACGGCCCAGTCATCAGCACCAACGGCGCCACGGACGACAGCAAAACCAACCTGATTGTCAACTACCTGCCGCAGAACATGACCCAAGAAGAGTTCAAGAGTTTGTTCGGGAGCATCGGGGAGATCGAGTCCTGCAAGCTGGTCCGAGACAAGATAACGGGTAGGTGTTGTTTCGTCAGGCGCCGGATTATTTCAAGACGTTTGGAATGGATAAAAAGAAAAAAAAAAAAAAAAAAAAACGCTTTTCCTCAGGTCAAAGTTTGGGCTACGGCTTTGTCAACTACGTGGATCCGAACGACGCAGACAAGGCCATCAACACACTCAATGGTCTCAAGCTACAGACTAAAACAATCAAGGTGAGAGGAGTTCGAGAAACGGGCGTGTGTTAAAAACCAAAATCAATGCCAGGCAAAAAAAAAAAAAAAAAGAGGAAGTGCAGATTTTCATCTTGAGGGAGGTGATGACAGACATGGCAGCAGGGAGGGAGGAGGGAGGGAGGGAGGAGGCAGAAGGCAGCGGCGAGGAGAACAAAGGGAAGTGGGAGAAAAGGGGTGAAAAGCGACAGAGCCGGAGGAGGAGGTCAGAAAGCACGTCGAGGTTATTGTGATGGAAATGTAATTAGGAAGCCGTGCTGCGGCGCGCGAGGGGTCGGGCCAGGTTACCCCCATCTGCCTCCAATCGGGGCTAATTAGGGATCCGTTTTTTTTTTTTTTTTGTCCCTAAATCAGATGACAGGGGGTGCAGGGGGGGGTAAGGCAGCACGTTATTAATCGCCGCCATCCTGTCGTCCAACCCCTCCGAGTTGAGTTCAAAGATGATTGGGGCAAAGTGCAGCACTATAAGAAATCAAATCTCCTGCCGAGCAGAGCAGGTGATTGTCCAACAGCTGCCCACGAATGACGTACCGCCGGTAATTCGGATTGATGACCGCAGCTGCAAGGAAAAAGTCAACCAAGTACGGAACAAGGCGATCGCATCGGTTTCGTGTCTCAAGATGACACTTTGCTTTTGACAATTTGGGTCCCTTGATTAGGCGATGACTCTTTGGGCTGTCGTTTCTTCACTTTCCTTGTTCCGGTTTGACATCAGGCGTGACTGCCGATGGGGGGGGGGGGTCGTTGTAATATGGGCAAGGGGTAGGGGGTAGAGCTGACAGGATTAGAGGCCATATGGGCCTCAGGCACCATCTGTACTGTGGGAGAGGCCGGGAGAGGGTTAATTATAGGGCAGCCTCTGCTCCCCGAATGTAACGCCCCCCCCCCCCAATCCCGCCCCGCCCGGCTCCTCCAGAGCACCCTAATCACCGCGCCGCACAACCCTCACTTGCTTACACAGTGCACACAATAGACATTCGGTGTTTGGCGAACACCTGTATTCGTCGCTAAAGATATCAGGCGAGCGTGTTTGATTTGGAAAACTAGACTAGAAACATTTTAGCTCATCCTATGAGGTTTGGGCCGAATGAGCCTGAACCTTGTGGTAAAGTGTTGTTAGCGAGGATCCTGATTCCTGCGAGTCTTGTGATGCATTGACCCTGTTTGCCAGTAGGGCTTGTTCACCCGGGAGAATTGAGACAAAGGAAAAGAGGCAGGGCCCGCCTGGGGAAGGCGGCTCAGCCTATCTCAAACAACACGCACTCTGTCTCAAACGCGAGACTCACAACAAGCGCCACGACGTGCTGAGCTGGGCTATCTCTCAGTCGTGCTTGCAAACAAGAACATATTGTATTATTATTATTATTTTTTTTTTTTTCCACAATCAGACTGTTCTCTGAAACATGATGAAAGCGAACCGGCAGAAGGGATGGAAAGTGTCGGGGATAGAACGACAGATGCGGCAACGACGTAACTGAGTCACAAAACGCTTAAGGCTTATTAGCGTGCTGGTTTGAAGTCTTAAAGCAATTGACTCGTGGGGGCTTGTTCTGGACGAGAGGCACCCGACTGATTCAATTGGCTGCGATGGTCCCGGTGCGTCATTGTCAAAGGGACGTTGATGTAGGACTTGGATTCCGAAATAATACAGCGGGGTACCTCAACTTTTGAACGTCTCTTTATACGAAATTTGAACATTTACGAAAAGCATCAAACGGGAAAACATTGCCTCTTGTTACGAACGAAATTTCAAGATACGAAAGGTAAAAATACAGTATGGGTTGGTACTCGCAATTCCGAGTTTCCTGAACGCAACATACTTATAGTTGCTCTGCCATTGGTTATTCCCAAGCATCTTCCTGGCATCCCATTGGCTAAGAGGGACCTCGACCGTACGTGTCTGTGTGTGTAGACAGATAGAAATGTGCTTATGCAGCGCTCTCATCATTCACCTCTCGGGCCATGAGGCGTTCCAAACATTTTACGTAAATGTGAATCACCCAGAAAACGTGTTCACCAGTCAGGTGATCGCTCGCTATGCTGATGTTTGCCTTGCACATTTTTGACGGATTGTTAAAAGCCGATAAAAGCGAACGTCCTCGGATCAGTTCTTGACAAAATGCCAGGCAAAAACCACGTCTGAGAGAGAACATGAACTAAAGAGAAAAAACTGTATTCTTTATTCATTATTTTTTTACATTATGCACAATACTCATTTTATTGTGCAATAATCTCATTCTAACATGTATTTGTTCCATATTTTGATGCATTTTCATGCTTCATAAAACATTTATGTCTGAATTTTGGGGGGCTTGGAACGGATTAGGGAATTTACATGGAAAACGCGTCTCTACCGACAAAATTTTCTCAGTAAGAAATTTCTTCCAGAACCAATTAATTTCGTAAGTAGAGCTACCACTGCACCTTTCTACTTCCTGATTTGTTGATGTTTGTGTGATCTGTAGGTATCGTACGCACGGCCAAGCTCCGCTTCTATCCGCGACGCAAACCTTTACGTCAGCGGACTGCCCAAGACCATGAGCCAGAAGGACATGGAACAGCTCTTCTCCCAATACGGTCGCATCATCACATCTCGCATTTTAGTGGACCAAGTCACAGGTATAGCCTTATTTCACATTAGCACGAATCAACTCTGGCCATTGTCGAAGGGTTATTCCCACAGGCCCCCCGTCGCGGATGCCAAGGTAGTGACATTGGCGTGTTTTCTTATTCGGAGCAGGCATATCACGAGGAGTTGGTTTCATCCGGTTCGACAAACGAAACGAAGCGGAGGAGGCCATCAAGGGTCTGAACGGACAGAAGCCTCTGGGCGCTGCCGAGCCCATCACTGTCAAGTTTGCCAACAACCCCAGCCAGAAGACGGGCCAGGCCTTGCTGACTCAGCTGTATCAGACCGCCGCCCGACGCTACACGGGGCCCCTGCACCACCAGACGCAGCGATTCAGGTACTGGAAATTGAACGACCTCACGGGACCGTCGCTAACCAATCGAGAAAAAGATGTTTTTCCAGTCCAGGTTGCACGTCATTTGTCTGTGTCACAGTGCTAGTTTGCTTAAAGGGGAACTTAATTAAATGAATGCATTACAAGGTTGTCCCTGAAACATCTAGCGGGCCTAGGAACAGGTTTAATGAACCCATTTGCGGCTCTACGCGGGGCCTAAGATGTCTGGCCTTTGATTTCGGTCCTTTCATGGTGAGCTAGACAATGCGACATTGGTAGAGTACCTCTTTGAAGCAAAGTCAACCCATTATATAATAGCAGTGTGAGGAGTGTCAAAATGTCGTACTTTGAACTCTCAAACGGAATATCATGAATGACTCAAGAGTCTTTTGAGTTTCAGAAAATGACCAGCCCTCAACGACACTTTCTAATCTGGCCGTGTTCAGGTTCTATCAGGTGGCGCAACCCAATAGCATTTGTAGGTCAGACCGTGTCCTCAAAACAGACACACAATTCGCAATTTTCCTTACATTAAAGGAATTGTGTGGTCAAAAAAAAATCAATACAAAATTCAAGTGTGCATATCCTTAAAACGCTATCTTTTTCTCTGACTTTCTTTTAAACTGCAGCGTGATCCCTTCTCTCGGAAAGGGACCAGATCCAAATATCAGCTCAAAACCAATGTAAGAGACCAGATTTTTACCATAAAAACACCACTTTCCTAATCACTGCCATACATCCTGACCCTTCAGATCTTGCTAATGAGTCACTGGGATTGCAATTTACTACTTTCACCACAGAATATTCTTCAGATTTAGAATCAGTTTTAAAGGGAGTCTATGAGGTGGTCCAAGATTGGCTCTCTCTTTTTAACAGTATATGTCATTTTTTTTTTTTTGTTCCCAATCAATTGATGTTAAATGAGCAGGGATACAAGGTATGCTTTAAATGTCTGTAATGCAATTCCACAAAACTGTCAGAGCCCAACGAATGTGGGAGGATGGTTTGGCACGACATTGAAATGAAGGATGCCCTCTGGAGGCCAGCTGGCATCTAGACTGAAAGGCCAGCCCTGCCTTGTAGAGTTCCGAACTAACTTCTCCATCCCTTCACTCTCCCTCTTGCGTTGCAGACTCGACAATTTACTAAACGCCAGCTACGGAGTCAAGAGGTAAATGCCAAAAAAAAGGTGTACTTTCAAAAGCATCCATGCTAAAATAAAATTTCAAACAAAGTGCCCGGAATACCATCTGCTGACTTGGAAATTAGACAACAGCTTCACCTAGCCCCATCGCAGCAGGGTATTCTGGCATGGCTTTGTTTAGCCTTCTTTTTGTTTGGTTTTATTCGATCAATTCAAATAATTTCACGTCTTTTTTTTTTTTAATTTGATTATTCTTACCAACTAACATTGTCCTTTCAGTTGCTTCAATGTCCCCTTTTTTTCCCCACCAGCATGGACATACCAGATTGCGTTTTTGCGTCTGTTTGCTCCAGTTTTTGTATGATTTGACTCTTACTTTGCTTTTCATCCCTCTCTAGGTTTCTGTGTTTCGTTCCGACACTGTGGTTTCAGTTGAACATTGTGAATTCATGTCTGTTCGATTCTTGCAGAAGGCTTTTAGGCCACCAGAGACAATAAGCAGAACGTGTGGGTGTCACACACTTGTCATTTTGTTACAAAAGCAGGCAGTTTGGAGACACCGAGGTGCATAGCCACTACTGGATAAGATGGGGACGGGGGTCCCGTGACTCCTTAGCCATCGACAAAACTTAAAAAGACACATGGCCATCAGAGATAGCGTAGAGAAGCGATTGTTGTGTGGAACTTCAGAATGACACCCATGGTAGTTCTCCCACTCTCTTCCCCAGATTCTCCCCGATCACCATCGACAGCATGACCAGCCTCGCCGGCGTCAACCTCACCGGTCCCACCGGAGCCGGCTGGTGCATCTTTGTGTACAACCTGTCGCCCGAGGCGGACGAGAGCGTCCTGTGGCAGCTCTTTGGGCCCTTCGGCGCCGTCACCAACGTCAAGGTCATCCGTGACTTTACGACCAACAAATGTAAGGGCTTCGGTTTTGTCACCATGACCAACTACGACGAGGCGGCCATGGCGATCGCCAGCCTCAACGGCTATCGCCTGGGCGACCGGGTGCTGCAGGTTTCTTTCAAGACCAGCAAGCAGCACAAGGCCTGAGAGAGGGGCCATAGGCGCCAGCACCTTTGACCTGCACGGGGGGGCGGGGCTACCTGAGCTCCTCCCCACCCCCGTGCCATCACTTTATCTATGGGCCTGGACTGAGTCTCTCTCTGACGCTTTCGCACACACATTCACAATATATAATCGCAAAAGACACAGACACGCGCAAACACAGATCCCGAAACACATGACCGAACCTATTCATAGGCAAGCATCCGCAAGTCAGAGTTTCAAACGAACCCACGAGTGGAGTTTTTCTGTTCTCTTTCCACAACATGCTAGACCTTTCCCTATCTTTGCCTGGATTGAATTAGAAAGGGTACGTAGCTGGTTTGCTGAGTAAGGGGTTGTTAAGAGCTATCTATTTAGGAGACAGGCTAATGAATGTGACAAAGAATGTGTGCTGTGTGCTTTGATTGAATTCAGGCAAATGATGGCAACTGATGAACAAAAGAAAAAATAGCGAACAATTGTTTTTTTTTTTTGTTTTTTTTTTTTTTTAAAAGTATGTGCAATTTACCCAAACTTTTACCCCTATAATCTCTGCTAGTATCATGCAGGAGAGGATGGCATTTTTATCTTTTCTTTGGTTTTTTTTTTTGTTTGTTTTTTTTTTTTTTTTTTTACACTTGGGCATTTTGAATCAGTGACTTTTTTTAAGATCAAAGAAAATGAAATGAAGACACAGTGTTGTTCTCTTATACGTCTATCAAAAAAAAATATAACTATATATTCAATATACAGGTATAAGGTGGTGGTAATAATAGCCGTATATGTAAGCATTTTCTAAAAACCTTGACAACTGTTTTCCTGACCTGCTTTAGGCGGCGCCGAGCATCAAGGCAGATCCTCTAACACCGTGTGAGCTTGGTCGCTCGGACCCGATGCCGATTTAAGTAAACTCGTGAATCTGGGAACCGGAATAAAATAGATAAATAAATAAATAGCCAGTCTGCTCCCTTCTCACAGCGTCACTCCAAACAATATAGTACACCTAAGACGAATCCACTGGAGCAAAAACGATCCCAAAGCCGAGTGGCGCAGGGGGTACATTAGGGATTGATTGTCAGCGCGACAGAAAATGACGTTTTGCTTTTTTTTTTTAGCTGCATCTGTGCAAAATGCGGCATGAGATGCCTCAGGTGACCAGGCTTTTGGGGGAAAAAAAAAAAAAAACGGAACCTCAACCACATATACCTGACCACAGTGGTTCTGGCTGGCACGCTACCGTACACGAGGCAGCCCACGTTGGTCACGGCTGATAAAGTAATAATACATCCATGTCAGACAAGATTGGCTGACCAACGCACTTGGCAGGTCTGCGGAGAGATAACACACTTGCAAAAGCTAAAAAGGTATTCTTCTTCATTCTCGTCCTCAGACAGGAACCTCCAAAATCACGTTTAGTCGATCGACTCAAGTTAAAACAAGCAACTGAGAAGCGCGGCTCCAAATTCAAGGACCAAACATTGACAAGGCTGTCCCTCGACGTGAAAAAAAATGACTCGGTCCCAGAAGCGTTGACCGACGCTTCTCGGTTTGATTCGTTTCAAACAACTCGGTAGCTTCTGAAAAGTCGCTGAAATCCCGCCCTCGCCCGACAACTGAGCAACATCAAGATGACAAATTCAGTGTCGTAATGCGTCTCGAAATGTCTCCAACCCAGCGCCTTGGAATTTATTTTTTTTTCCTTGATGGAACATGAAGGCCCGCTCGTCTTATCTGAAGTGTCTAGCGAAGAGCAGTCGTGAGCTCTACCGTGGCGAAGGGCCAACGTCTTTCGCTATCTGCGCGGGATCATAGATTTAAAATAGGGGTCAACTCTATTCAAGACTTGTTTGCTTTTTTGCTTTTCTAAATGACGCTGTGTTAGCCAAAGAGGGCGATCTCTTTGAAAGGATTACATTAAAGATAAATCTATTTTTATACATACAAAGGAACAAGACCTTGTGCTGAATTTTTACAGATTCTTAAGCTTGGGGTAAAAGAGAAAAAAAAAAATTGGGACATTGCATGGCTTTATTTTAAACCCTCTGATGTTTGCAGGCGTGAGAGGGGGGGGGGGAAACAAGCAATGCGGTGAAAAGGGTGGGAGTCTCGGGAAGGGGGCAAAGGAACACTATCGCACACACCAACTTAAAACCACTCGACCGTGGCTAATGTTTTGGAGACAAACTTGACAGTTAAGAAGAAAAACAGAACTGAAGTTGACATCAAAAACTAGGTCAAGCCGAACCGTTAGGGGGGATACTTTCGAGTGCCTCAGACACTCTTGTGCTGAACTCGTCGTGTACAGTGTTGCTTTATGTTGGTTCTTTGGCTTGTGAATCCCAGATGAAGAAGAAAAAAAAAAAAAAAACACCAAAAAAAATGTGCGGTGAGAGCATCTCATTGCCCGGCTGACAAAACAAATCGCTGCTTGTAACGCCCCCTCCAAAAAAAAAAAAAAAAAAGGATATGCGCAGATTTAAAATGACAATGCGGCCTCGTGTTGACCACTGATCGCAATTCCTTAGATAGAGTTGAATTTTTTTTTTTTTTTTTTGCCAAAGAGTTTGGTCTGCCAGTCAGTAATACTTAACTCATTCACTCCCAAAGACGTTTTTAACCGTCTTTTCAGACTTGGTCCAGAATTGGCTGGTACTGAATGAGTTTTAAACACAACACGCCCCCTCCCCGCCTCGATTAATTGCTGTACAAATCTGTTATTTGTGGCGTCTTCAAGGACCCTTTCCACAATTTGCGTTCTTTCTTTTGAACATCGACCGCTGCGCATATCATTTGTGGCTCCTCAAACCCACCAAGCAAATCCCATTTGCACACATTTCACGCAGACACCGACTGCTAAAAAGGCATCTCAGAAACAAGCAATCAATCTTATCACCTCTCACTAAAGGGGTGCATTGGATACAGTAGACCCCCCCCCACCCCCATGACATTTCCGTCGCCTGCTTCGTCTCACGATCCATTCGATCCCTAAAATCACTGCTTCAAATACCGTATTGGCCCGAATATAAGACGGCCCTGATTATAAGACGACCCCCTCTTTTTCAAGACTCAAGTTTGAAAAAAAGACTTTTTGAACACCAAATTAATTTTCATACAGAAAATAATTACAGTACTACAGTGCTACCGCTATTTTTATTTTTATTCTTCGTGGCAGGGGTTCACTTTGGCCTGGGGAGTCAAGTTCAACATTCGCTTCAATGATATCTGGCGCCATCTAGCGTCGCGAATGGGTATAATGTCTAGACCCCGAATATAAGACGACCCCCACTTTTTCAGTCTTACTTCAATGCAAAAAACACCGTCTTATATTCAGGCCAATACGGTACTTAATCAAGCATCTGTCGATCTCACTGCTGTTGCTTAACAGGACTAATTTGGCTAGTTTTTGGTCAGGCATTAGCGCCCCAATACCGACTAAGTTCGCTTTTTAGGAAAGCTGACATCGGAGTCGTCTAATATATTGCCGTCAAAGACCGGAATGAATCTCCATACTCAAAGCCCACCTTCACTCAAAGAGAGCCGAGGAACAGGAAACAGTACCGCACACAAACACACACAGCTCGAGCGACAACAATAATCATGTTAGAAGAAAAAAAAAAAAAAGACAAAAAAACTTTCCTATGGAACAGTAAGTGCAATGTGCTTTGTTTTTATATTGACTGAGAACAAATGATATATATTTTTTAAAAAAGAAATTAAACGTTACACTGAAAAGGTTTGCGGAATAGCGAAAGGAACAAACAAACAAAACCCAGATCGGACGAGCGACGGCGCAAAGACGAGCCGGCTCGTTAAGGAGAACTCAAAACGAGAGAGCTCTGATCTGGAAATTTCCATAACGACCTCCTCAGCCCCGCCCCGTAATTTGTGCTCTGACCATACAAGCTCAAAGACTCCGACTGAACGGAGCAATCGTCAGTGACCTTGAAAGGAATACTGTCCAATAGCTCATCAGTTGTTTATTTTGTTTTTTTTCGCCCATGTCGACTGAATATCTTTTTTTTTTCCTCTTGTAATTTATTGATTTCAATTGCATATCAGGACTCACTTGTTAAATGAGTGTATTTGTGTTGTTGATGTTGCCATAGAGAACACACATATGGGTCGATTATGTTTGGTTGCATTGATTGGATACGGTTTGTTCTTTTTTTTTTTTTTAATTTTATTTTTTTCCTCCATTATCGGATTAGTTGCAGTTTTTTAAAGTGTATGCCGATTTTAGACTTAGATTCTTTTCGTTCCAATCAAACTGTGTTCGATTGTGTTTGTAAAAGTCTGTGGTAGCTTTTGTTGCAACATAAAAATAATTTAAACAGAAAAAAAATGTCAAAATAGCGCCGACAAACTTGTATTATTTGGGCGACTTTAAGCTTGTAGTTTTAACTTATTGTTAACTTAAAAACTATTTATTATGATTATTATTATTATTATTGCCTCGTATGAAGTATGTTTTGTGTATATTTATGGTTTATTTTGTTACATTTGCAAGGTTAAAAGATTTTTAAGTTCTTTTGCCAAAATTGTGGTTACACCATTTCGGGGTTTTTTTTCCGGGGAGAAAAAAAAAAATTTAAAAACAAAAACAAGGGGGACAACTAGAAAAACAGCTTTAGAAGTTCGATTTGGAAAACGTTCTCCATAGTCAAAGAATGCACTGCTATATTTAACTAATTGAACTGTATAAACATACATGCTGTGTGCTAGATGTTATGCCTTTACTGCCTGTGTTCTGTTTGTCTTGTTCAATGAGAAAAAAAAAATCTTTTAATTATTTAACCTAATCACAGTCTTGTTTTTTTTGTTTGTTTTGCTTTGTTTTTTCAACCGCTCAGTCTGAGACATGGGGCAGCCCCACCGCCAGCCCTCTCGTTTCTTTTGAGGCATCGATCCAGAAGGAGGCGGGGTTGTCCCTCACAAGATGATTTCCTGTCCGCGCTTGTCTAAAAAAGGGACATTAGGGAGCGTTTTTTTTTTTTTTAAAACGAGCGCCTACACTCTTTTGTGCAAGGAGAATGTTTGCTTGGCGCCCATAAAATGAGCAGGGATTCTGGGTCGAGAGCTTGTTTATCGATGAATGACAAGCGGGCAGGGAAAGTCTTGTTTGAAAGGGGCGAGCGGTTCTTCTGTTTCTCAACCAACTGTGTTTTGTGTCTATTTATTTAGAAGAGGGGACTCAGTATATTATTAGTGATGTTTTTCTTACATTTTTCCTGGAAATGGTAGAACAAACTCAAAAAAACAAACAAAAAAAAGGTGAAAACGATCAAAAGTAGTGGAATACAAACACTCATACATACTTCCAGACATGACCAAATGAGCAATGAGAAACGAACAAGAAAAAAAAAAAAAATACAAGTAAAACCTTTCAGTTTAGTCTAGAATATTTACTACTGGGATTTCAGCTGAAGACGCTTGAAGACTTTTTCATGGAGTTGTTTAATTATTTGTACTTTACATGCCAGAAAAAAAAAAAAAAAAAGAAATAAAACTTACAAATATGAGTGGGCCCCATTTTGTTGACTGAACAAAGAATATCGCGTTTGTCGTTTCCTCGATGACAAAGATTCACCGGTGGTAAGAACGTGCAAACTCTGGATGATGTATAAAGTTGAACCTTGGTCACTTTGAAAACAACAATAAAACACAAACTAAAGTGGGAGTGTGTCAGTTCCAGATATGAGTGATGATCCCCATTTCATGACTAAATCATAACTCCATATGGGAGAAGAAAAAAAAAATTGGCCAAAAAAATGGGGTATGTCAAAGATACAAATATTTTGTTGACTGACCAAATACACCAAACTGTCATTTATGCCTTAACTATGGTTCAATTATGAATGAAAGTTTTTCTGAAATAGAAAGTTGAGCCTCAATTAGCAAACAAACTGACTTAGCATACATGCCAACTCCTTTTCGCAGAATTTATTTACGTTGCCGCATTTCTCTCAAATGACCACAAACGCATGTAAAAAGCTCACACGTATTTATTGAACACAGTGAAATCGTCGCGCGGCGGCTCCTTCGCCACTTCCTGTTGCCGTGGCGACGTGGTCCCTTGGTGAACACTGCAAGAGGAGCACAAACACGTTCACGTTGGCACTCCTTGTTGTCGGAATCAAACTGCTTCGCTGGGTGTCAAATCCCCGTCGGGGTTTCAATTTCCGAGGACTAAGCGCTCACCGGCAACCGGGACACTTTGCGTGCTTTTCTCAGCATTGACAGCGGGCTATTGTATTAGATCGAGAATTATGACGACAACAGCGCCACCATAAGCAAGGCAAAAACATTCAAGGACGAGACTCAAGAAACATTTTTTTTTTTCCTTTTAACAATGAATGACACCGACTGGCATGTTGTGAGATTTCAGTAGGATTTAGTACAAAACACCACATGATTAATGGAAAGATGAAAATGGAAAATTAGCGCTCACAGGACCAAACGACATCCGTGAAAAGGGTGCCCGAGTGCGGCATGCAGTGGCGCGAATCCCGTTATGAACAAGTATTACAACTATCAATTGTGCATTTGGACACTAAATTCTTGTGGCGTGGCACAAGCTACTATGGCGTTACAGCAACAAAGTCACGAGCGTGCATGCGGTCATTGATTATAGTTAACAAAGACAACTTTGGCTCCAGACGACTGCAGTGCGGCATTTCAACGCTGCCAAATGCTTCCGTGACATTGAATTCATTTTTGTCCCATTATTGACGTCGTGAACTCTTAGAAAGATGCCATTACCTTGCCTCTGCTGCGGTCCTGCTTGTTCTTCAAACACAGAAAGGAGAAAGCCAAAACGGCGCACGAACCCGTTCCCTCGCCATCAAATGCCGAGACGCGCGATACGCTCGCGTAAGCGTGTCGACTGCAGCTGCGTTTCATTTTAATTCGGTTGAGCTTCGTGCTTAACTCATTCACTCCCAAAGACGTTTTGAAACGTCTTTTCAGACTTGGTCCAGAATTGGCTGGTACCGAATGAGTTAAGAAGTTGACAGGACTGGTTTCAAGTAAGAGCGATAAAACGTGCAAAGCCAAAGACTGCAGCACATGCATTCTTGCATGGGATGACTTTGCGATTAAAATATTACTCACAGGTTGGGTCGGTTTTAAAGTTCTGTATGCAGCATGGGGTCCAGGGTCCTGGGGTCCTGGCAGAGGGCGGGAGTGGTGAACTCCATTAAGTACTCGCAGCGACTGGGCTCTGTCGTGGACGTGACGACAGTCTCCTTCCCGCATTTTAGCTTGACCTGCCAGACAAACCCCAAAATTGATATCAAATTCTGTTGTATTGTTTCTCGCCCCTTGCCCCGCCCACTTCTGCTAAAGCGCTCAAAGACTAACCGTGGTGGCTCTGTTGGGACCTTGCCAGCATCCCAATCCATTCTCGTACTTCATCACGGTGTAGACGTTCCCCTCGGGACCGTCCCAATGACCCCAGGTCCTTAGAACAAAAACAGTCAGACGTTGCCAAGACAAGCCAAGCGTTTAACGCAGGCCTTTTTTGCATTACCCTAAACTGGTTTCTGAGCCGCCCATCTTGGGTTTCTGGGTTACTTGTTTGAATGGGCACAGCCTGTAGATGTATCTGGAAAAAAAAACAAAAAAAACACATTTTAGTGCCAAACAACACCAAACCCCGCCCCCCCCCCCAAAAAAAACATGCTGGCACATACTCGCTTGTAGGTAGGTCATAGCACTGATTGTAGAGGTAGGCAAACTCAGCACTGGGTCCAAAGTCTGAGGATGTTTCCTTTTCAAGGCTCCTGTAGAAAAACATGCATAGTAAGATGGAGCGCGGCTGAATCAGGGTGGATTCATACCACAGACTTCAAGTGGCATCGTTCAGATGGTTTTGCTGTTAATTGGAAAAATTGGGATGTGGCATGGCAGCGTAAATAGAAGAGGAAAAAAAAACACACCAGCTTTTACGTGCAGTTAGGGGATCAGTACATGAGGGTTATCTCATGTTTTCAACGTAAACAAAGACGGATTGGAAATATGTCAACAGTAGATGGAACGCGACTCAAAATTGAACAAATAAATCTGAAACAGGCACTGAATTGGAATGGAGCACTTGGACCTGCAGTTGTAAATCCAGCCGGACACGTCGCAAAAGGCACATTAGCATTCCTGGAAAAGACGCCGCCCGCCCGGCCGTCCGTCGTATTCCGAGTATAGTACTTACTTCAACTGATCATCCAGTTCCCGGAGGGCTCGCTCGGTCTCATCAAACTGCTCTCTCGCCTTCTGGGCAGCTAGCACAGCAAACATGCTATATTCAATTACGAGGGCTAGGCCTTTATGGGGGAACTGAATGCACACAACATTAAGTACGCCTACGCCATCTAATGAGATCAGATAGTTTGCCCGTGGCCGCTTACTGCACCGTTTCATACGAAAAGGCATTTCCATGCTGGGTCATTCAAAGCAAAGTCATAAAACATTACGGAGAGTACACGCCATGTTCCTAACATCACACAAGGTGTAATTTGTGCATTTATATGAGGTCTAATGGGTCAAATTAACTGACATTTTATACCTTCCCAGTTTTATACGGATCAAATTTCCTCTGGTGGGATAACCCCCAAAAAAAGCCAGCAAAAAATACTTTAGATCAGTGGTGTCGAACATACGGCCCGCGGGCCGGAACCGGTCCCCAAGGAAGTTCAATCTGGCCCACAAAATAATTTAAAAGTAACAAAATGCATTGAAGACCCAAAATGAATATTTTTAATAAAATGCAATTCATGGATTGTCCGCTAGGGGAAACCCGTTTTGATCCGTGTAGAAGACAACATTGTTTCGATCAGAGAAGAAAACAGCAGTCTCAATCTGTCACTGAGACAGACCCAACACAGCAGATGGTATCAATGCACCAATGCTTCTTTATACCAAAACAAAGGAAAGACATGATATTTTGGTTATTTATAGCAGAGTATGGTATAATGCTCTGTGGTACTGTATGTGTTTGGTAAAAGTCTACAACACACACGACGATCAATACGTAAGATATATTCAGGTATGCAACGAGTCATACTTACCATCAATGAGGTTCTGCGTTTCTTCGTCGTAGGGCGGCATCGTCCCTTCGTCCTCGTCATCCTTCTTTGCTTGTACCGCAGGAGGTCTCTGTGTGAATAGCGTGCACACACACACACGAAGTGAGTCAGGGGAATCAACTTTACTCAGGTCGTGCAGCACAAGCTCCAGACGTTTACGTTGTAGTCGGCGTCATCCGGATCGTCGTCATCTTCCTCCTCCTCATCGTCCTCCTCCTCCTGATCATCATCATTGTCGTCATCTTCTTCTGGGATTTCGCCCTCAGAGTAATGCTCAGAGTCATTGTCGGGGAGCGGTTCCCTCGTCTCCCCGTGCGGCGTCTCCACTTGGGACTGCTGCCAAGAAAGGTCCACGTTACCAGACAGGAGCCTCGTACCGAGAAAGCGCGCCATTGGTGGGGGTGTCATTGCCTTACCTCGGAGATGTATTTGTCTTTTATGTCCTTCCAGACAGCCTCGAACGCCACCGTGTCGACTTTGTCCACGCCTCCCAAAAGGCCCTGTGCACAATTTTAAAGACAAACATGACATTAACTGTCAGTATGTAGTTACTGCCTTTTGGGGAAGGGTGGTGGGGGGGGGCTTTCTTTCATCCATTTTTTTTTTTTACTCCACTCATCCTCACTATATCATCATAAACACAAAGGAGGCTGGTGTATATTAGCTCGGGTTTATTTTGCCCATATTGTTGGTGGATTTAACAGATTTAAATACTGAACATGTTGTACCATGAAATAGCTTTTCGGTGTCAGCTTATTATATGCAATACATCTACGTTCACACTGCATATCGGAGTTTTTCATGTGGTGTGAACACTGCTATTTCATGCACTGCACAAGCGGCCAATCAGGAAGCTCACTGAAGCCAAAACGAATCGAGGAGCCATTGCTTATGTTAAGTGTGTATCATGTCGCGCAAGTCACTCACCACAATAAATACGACAAGGACTAGTTTCAACTGCAACTTAGTGACCAGAAAAGGCGAATGAGGCAAACTGTACCACTACTCTTTTCTTCTTTTGCCTTTGGATGCCCTGTGGCACAATACTGCCACTCTCAGGCCAGTCTTGGTACAACAACAGGTAGTTTTGTGAACGTGGTGTGCTGGCCACCACACGATGGAAGAGCAGTCAGAACAGAACAAACACACTTGCCCATTTCTATTATTCAAATGATAAAAACCATTGCGTGTGTGTGTGTGTGTGTGTGTGGTGCTCAAACTTTCTTTTTTTGTTACCTGAGCCTCCGTTTCAGTGAAAGAACCATCGGAATCTGTGTCAAGCTCACTGTGGGACTGGAGCTCAGTCAAGGAGACGCTGAAATTAACATCAATTTGATGAGTGAATCAAACCATTAAAGTATAATCTTACAAAACAAAGTCATCTAAAATATAGGCGGGAAATAGGGTCAGGAGTCCACAAATATTACATATGCGGTCACGATAAATTATTTTTGGCGTCATTACGGTTTGTGTGTTGATACTTACAAGCCATCGCCGTCATCATCCAGTTCAAGAAACACCTCAGCCATTCGAGCGTTGTCCTTCTCTGCGCGTATTGCAGCCTTCTCATCTGCAACAAACAATGACATGAAATATGAATAAATAATGACCCGATTCATGCGAAGCTGCCACATGCGACACAGATGGGGCTTACTTTCCCAAGCCTTGAGATGGCGCTCTTTAGCTTCTTTCTCGGGCTCCTCTGCCGCTTCCTTCACCGTTCGCAGAGCCTCCACCTTCTCCTCCAGTTGTTTCTTACTGGCCTCCAGGTCAAATGCTTTGGCCTGCCAGGACAAATTCGCCCATATATTCAAACATGACGATGTGTTAACTAAACGAGAAAGACATTGGCTACGTGCTTTGTCATGGGATAATCATAATTCAGAATAATAAAACCTGTATGTCATTTTTTGCAATTTGGTTTTTCATTTCCATCTGCACCTTTTTTTCTTCCAGACCCCTCTTGGCCTCCTGAATGAGTTGCTGTTTGAGAATGAAGCCCTCCTTTGCAATCTCAGCCAGTTTTTGCAGAACCTCCTTCTCCTTGCGCCCCAACTCCCTATGAACAGACAAGAGCATTTTAAATTGGGGAACCTCTAACAACCTATTCATACCTATCAAATTTGAGCATTTTCCTCCCTTTCCACCAAAGTCAACTACGGCCCAATTATCAGATGCTTCTCAAACAACATACGAATACTTTTTTTTTTCTTCTTCATGTTGCATTTTTTGTCTGATGCAACTTAGTATCCTCAGAAAAATACAGTAATCGTTTTACAGAAAGGTTTCAGATTGATATCTCCTCCCCAAGATGTGTGAAAAACAGTTGGGCAGAATGTCAGTGGCGATATCGTTACGCTTGTGGTGTGTCATGTTGGCAGTCTTGAACGCACCACACATTAAAAGAGCAATCATCACTCACATGGCGCTTAGAATTTTCTAAAAATGGTTAATTTGTCACAAAATGATTATGCGTGGACCAGTATAGTCACACTTACCGGCAGGTGTTTGGGCAGCTAGCACCGCTGTTGAACTCATCTGTTGCATCACAGCAGTCTGTCAAGGGCAAGTTTTCATTTAGCATAAATCGTGACCAGCTGTGTCAAAAAAGGAAAACGAAAGAACGAACTAAGTGATCTTACCGCAAACACCATCATTGATGCGGGACGACGGGATGAAGACTGGTCGATGGCCCGCGTTAGTGCAATGGAAGCTGCCATTGGGGCAAGCCGGAGTGCCTGCAAGTGAACAAATGAGTCTGATGTTTCAAATGCAATTTGGAAGGGGCGGAAGGCTGCCGGATATACAAACCTGGCTCATCCGAACCATCCTGACAGTCACAGTAGTCATCATTTACCCTGTCAAAGGGAATTGTGCGGGAGCCGTCCAAGCAAGTAAATGGTTTTCCCTCCACGTAGAAGTGCTTTTCTGTTGGACAATACAATAGAGCGATTTCCAATTATCCAAGGAGACAGACAGAAAGCTTCACACTGGTGGTACTTATGAGTGCCACAATTTATGGGCTTTTGCAGTCAAGAGCCTTAGCTCTGTTAATTTTTTGGTTTGTTGTTGTGCGCAAATATGTTAACTCAGTAGGGCCTGAAGATTTTATTTATTTGCTTGCTTTTGTGAAGACCGATTCTAATTCTGATATTTGGCGGGGAAAAAATCTGAGGACCGCTTAAATCGGCCACTTTGTGGTTCCTGAATGCTTATCAAGACTATTCATTTCAACATGCCATCTTTCTGCAACAGATACCGGAAGGAGACATACTTGGGGAACGTAGTTCCTCAAAATGATGACGACAGCACATGTATCAAATACGATGCAATTACTCTGTCACTTAATAAATAGTAGACGTCATTTTGGGATGAACTCAAAAATGCACGCACTTCGACACTAAGCAGTTAAATTCCATTAGTCCACCACTAGATGACACTACATTCTATACGCTGTACCTTTAAACCGTTATTGTACAGTGCTGTATGTTGGTGTTTTCTTTTCGGGGTGAGGGGAACTGCATTCGTGGCATTTCAATTCATTTCAATCAGGAATATTAATTTCGAATGCTCCCTTCTTACTTGACAGCGATACACCGCGGGGGCGTTGAACTTCCACGGCCGAGACCGCAGCACTCAGCAACAGCAGAGAGATCAGGCTCTGACAAGCGATCGCCATATTTCTGCTTCTGTTCTCTGTCGAAAACAGATAGCAATTAGACGTAGAATTAAAACACAACGGGACCAGTCATTGAAAATGGATGGTGTCTGACGTCACGTCAGGCAATAAGGAGCAAGATCAAAACGATTCTATGTGAGCGAGGTGTGCAGGGATTAAAAAAATGCTAAAACTACCGAAATTCAATTCAAACCAACGATGGAACTCGTTTGGCTTCAAGCGAAAACGTCGTGACATACGAAAAAAAATAATGTAAAAAGGCAAACGTACCCATCACGTTCTTTCCTTCCCTCGAGAAGGCAGGCTAATAGATGCCTGTAGCCTAACCTCGCGCCGCAGTTCCGTAAAGACGCACTGCGCATGCTTATGGACCCGCCCTACTGTTTTAAAAGCATATGATTGGTTGGTATTTGATCACATGGATAACTGTGATTGGTTAAATTCGTGACATCTGCTCGCTATTTCATCGAATTGTCTTTTGAGGTACATACCGATTGGCCGAGAGAGGTGTCACTCAAGGCGCTGCAGCCATCTCGTGGCAGTTAATAGTTTACCTGGAGTATGATTTAAAAAAGGTCATATTAGATATTCAGCATGTTATCTTCTAAAAAAAAAAAATATATATATATATATGCTAATACATAATGCAGGGGTAGTATGGTGTTTGCAATACTATACGTAGTATATTTGACCATAAATAGACAAAAGAAAAATTACATTAGAAACCATGTAATATAAAAATCGACCTTTATTGTATTTCTAACACACTTTACAGTACCGAACAGTGAAATAAAAAGGAATATATATATATATGCTTATTAAATGTGTTTAGTCACAAAATGACACCTCGGCTCTTTTAAGAGGAAAAAAACTTTCATAAAAATAATATAATAAAAAATAACCGGACACATTTTACACGTTACAGCGAGATCATTTACAAATATTACAATCATTTCATGTTGTTTTACCCCCTTGTATAATTTCTCCTGCTTTTGTGACACACACACACACACACACACACACACACACACACACACACACACACACACATGAATTAAAGCTAACAAAAAATACTCTTTAGAGGGAGTCAGTCTGCATCGCTCCAACCTGACAGGCAGGCTATTGGTTAAAGTTACTAAGAAACAAGAGAAGGTGACAGTGCTAGAAATGGTCAAGAAAAATAAGGACACACTTCGAACGTGTCACATCCTGCATGACTACAGTATAGCCGCTCAAGTTTTGACTTTACAAGTGATTAATTACTTCCCACATGGCCAGTCGATAAGCGTATGGCTCGCTTTGACTCTACATTGTACAATGTGGGTTTGTGATTTGGCCCAGTAGAATATCATCATTGACGGTAACCCCCTCCCACCCCCCAGCACAGACCACACACACAACTTGAAACTCTGCCTCTGAGCCTGGTGAAATAAAGTGCTGGTACACGTATATCTGAACAATAAAGAGGTGACAGTACAGGCAAACTAGAACATACTGAAGAATCGTAGTTTGTGGCCTGCAGGGTCTTTATATTGTTCAATCATTTACAATGCAATATACATTATATACACAAGTAATTATGCTTACACCTACATCCACATGTGATTCTTTGTTTTTTTTTCCTTCCACCCACCAACTACCAGAATGATATAAAAATAAACTGTACACAAACTGTTCAAAGAAAACACTTCCCGTGGTTTTCTTTTTCATCATTTTTAAAAAGAATGGCAGCAATCAATCCACTGAATAATCTTATTAATAAGAAATAATTTGCTACAGTATCGTGTTTGTATGGCAATTAAATAGTAACTTTTTTTATATAGCTATATGACATCACAAGAAGAAGCCATCAGAAAAGAAAAATAGTTTTGACTGTAAGTGAACAGGCAAGTGCATATGGGAATGTTGCGTTGATGCTTGTTATTCCATATTCCCGCGGTTACACACATACACGAGGAAGAGCTCTGTTTCTGACCAGCAGAACCTGCTCTCCACCACCTCTCACCATCAATGGCTTTTTACTCGAGGAAAACTACGTTCGTTGAAAAAAAAAAAAAAAAAAGTGGACAACGATACATTGAACAACATTTTAGGCATTCTTGCCCTCTCACACTGCCAAGCAACTAGAAATAAGTCATTCAAAAGCAGGGTACACACTGGCCGATTTTTGACCAGGGATGGTGCTAGACCGGGGCTAAGGGAGGCTAAAGCCCCATCAGAAATCAGTTATGCGTCCCAGCATTTTAGTTGCTATTCTAAAATAGATTTATAAATAATTTTCCCAGGCCCCTTATGTCTCGGTCAACGCCCTCTTTAGCCCTGGAAGAGAAAATATCCGGGAGCTGTGCCTGATTTGCGCTGCTCTTTTCGTGCGTGGTGTACAGTCAACCCCTTGCTACTTGCAGGGGATAGCGAATGGGTCGGTGAACATCCGCGCATAATTGATGTCCATTGAAACGCATTTGGGGAGTTGAAAGTGGCGGTAATGAGGAAAAAAAAATCCTGGACAAAACAATAAGCTAGGCTAACTGTTAGCTTATCTGGTAACTACAAACTATTCCTCATCATTTTTATTGTGGTGAATGAACTGTGAGACACACACGATACAAACACTCAACATAACCAGCAGTCCAACTGACTTTCTGACTTTTGCTTACTTACGTCAGAAAGACACAATTCAGCCCGATTATCGGTATGTGTGTACCCGGCTTAAATGCTCGTTAAAATACAACAATTATTCCATCTACATGGTTGCTGTAATGTAGTGACTTTTAACAACAACAACAACAAAAAAAAAAAAACACATTCTTTATGTTTGGTAAGAGCACAGCCACAGCATACTGTATATAAGTGACCGATGCAATGAGACAAGCATATAGACATCTTAAAAATATAGTAGAATATCTGCTAATATTCCTCTCCATATAGCGGCAAGTATGAATCCTGCTTCTGACATTAAGGCAAAAACAAACAAACAAAAAAAAAACATAAAAAGGACTATAGACCTTTTTCAGTGACCACCTCTGCTTGGTATTATCTTCACTCCCGAATGAATAAGGTAACGTGGCCGTAGACGTGGTCTGATCTTAAAAACAAAAAACAATCTACAAGGGATTTCCACACGAACTCTCCTGAATTCCTTTTTCCCCCCATAACCTGCACTCATCTACTTTGGTGATCATTATATGAGGACTTAAACACAGTGCGAGTGAGCGCGGCGCAAAACGTGATCCGCCGATGGCATAATAACCGCCCCCCCCCACCCCCTTCCTCCCACTGTTAACTAGAAATTAAAGGCAAAATGTATGCGCCGAAGCATCGCATGGCTTATTGTAGGAAAGAAATTAGTCAGTGGTTGCGGCGGCGGTAGTAGTGGTGGGCATTGCTCTGTTATACCAGCAGAAGAGCAACAAAGGAAGACTTGACAGCTTAAAACATGTCACCACGGACACACCACAATAGCATGGACAGTAGCTTCCACGAGAGACAATCAAAAGTGAGACCAAAAAGCACACACGCGTACGTACAACTCCTGTCCCACAATGCATTGCTTCACCGCAGCTCTCCATTCGGGAGGCTGGGGAGTCAGAAAGGCACAGAGCCATCTTCTAGCTAAGCGCTCTCCTCGTAAAGGGGTACGGGACCGGGGGCACCCCCCACCCCACCAACGTCCGTCCATATTCCCCCACCGACGTCCAACTTCCTTATTTTTCTTTTCCGACAGAAATGGAAAAAAACTGAAATAAATAAAGTTGCTCGCGTTGCTGAGGAGAACAGTTCCTGTTGGGATTTGACTGAACGTGAAAATTGCTAAGACCGAACGTTCCCATTTAGAGATGGCTTTTTCCAAAACAAAAACAAGAAACAAATCGTTGTTAGTGATCCCTTGTGTTAATGCACGCATACAAACATAGAGTCAAGTGTGCGTTTGCAAGAAAACAGCAGCCCGGGTCGTGGAGGGCAGGGGTGCTGCAATGCTCAATTGTTCTGCATATATGCACGCGTGCACACGCGTAGCGTCGCTGCATTCGGAGTGACTTAACGTGTGTTTATTTGTGTGCATTCCAGTCCCAGAGTGCTACACCATCTTGTCCACTGCTCACTACTTCGCATCTACAGTTGCTGTGTGATGAACTCCTCTCGAGTCCCTTTTTGAAAAATAGATTTAAAGGTCTTTATTGACACTGTTCTTGGTTTGGCCTCGTGTAAGGAGGAAAACTGATCACATGTGCAAGTGAGGAGGGCTCCGTGAAGAGCAACACTCATGTGTCGTCGGCTTGCGAAGAAGAATCCTCCTCTTCCTCTACAGGACTGGTGTCAGAAAGTCTCTCCCCCTTTGACTTGGTCTCCAACTCGTCTTTGGGCTCCTCGCCCTGCTCTTCCTCCTCCATTGCCACCTCCTCGTCGTCCTCCTCCTCCTCGATGATGTCCTCGTTTTCCTCCTCTTCTTCTTCAGCCAGGACGTCCTCTTCGTCGTCGTCCTTGGCTCTCTCGTCGCCGTCTTGCGCCACGTGGTTGGGGCACGCCGCGGTGTCCCGCTCGTTGCACTCCACCTGAGAACCGTCGTCTAGTGTGAGTTCAAACTGGAACTTGTCCACGCAGGCGTTGAGCTCCTTGTCCTGGCACACGGGAGGAGGCGACGGGCTCTGCGGGATGGTACTCTGGTACCAGTCCCTGTTGTCCTCCAGAGTGTCCAGGATGTCCTGGGCGTCGGGGTGCACCAGGTCCCCCCAGGTCTCCCAAAGAGGGTGGACGATGTAGTCAATGAAGCCAACCTACACACACAGGGGATACATGTTGCTTAGGCCAGTGAAAATGTAGATGTCATACTCAGTTGTGGAAATATAGCGTTGAAATGTTTACCAACATTTCATTTTTTCAGAAATTCTTTTTGGGGGGCGGGGGGTGGCTAAAATGGCTTGTGACGCACTATAGAGTCCGACATGAATCACTCCTCTCCCAGTACATGAGTACCGTATTGGCCCGAATATAAGACGGTGTTTTTTGCATTGAAATAAGACTGATAAAGTGGGGGTCGTCTTATATTCAGGGTCTAGACATTATACCCATTCACGACGCTAGATGGCGCCAGATATCATTGAAGCGAATGCTGAACTTGACTTCCCAGGCCAAAGTGAACCCCTGCCACAAAGAATAAAAATAAAAATAGCGGTAGCACAAAGAAGAAAAATAAAAAAATTGCGGTAAAAAAGAAAAGAGAAGAAAAGAACAGAAGCGATAACAGAAAATGGAGAAACGTAGTGACAATCTGGAGGAAATTGGGTCGAAGATTGGCCAGGTTAACCAGCAGCTAAGGAGAAGTTATGAAATTTACATTTCAAAAACCAGAAGCCATCCATTTACGAATGTGATTGCACTTTAGATTTGAATGAGGCAAAATAACATGCTCTTTCTCTCAAATATATTGTTATAATCATTTGTTTCAGATGTACTCTAATTATTTTCTGTATAAAAATTAATTTGGTGTTCATAAAGTCTTTTTTCAAGCTTGAGTCTTGAAAAAGAGGGGGTCGTCTTATAATCAGGGCCATCTTATATTCGTGCCAATACGGTATTTGAGCCCCCGTTTCGAGCAGTGGTTATCTGGCGTACTTGCGACATACAGTTAGCCAGCTAGCGATGCTAACACCCCGACGATGCATCTACACTTAGGACAGTCCGCCGGCATGTCCGCTTTAGAGTGCCTCGATGTCAGCTGCGAGTGCGTAAACGCAGAGAAAAGCAGAAGAGTGCTGTTGAGTCCAACAGCATGTAGAGTGCCTTGTTGTTCTAGCGCGGAAATGCCGCTTGATGACCTGGCGGGAGGTTTGATGCAGATCTATATTTGTGGTTCAAACATGTAGTTATGTATAGATAGAAAGAAAGACGCTAAACAATGCAGCGGTCATTTCTACAGGTTGCAGCAGTGGTATTTGATTGAAAGTCGACAAATGAGCGGGATGTGCTTTGAGCACATTCTGTGGACAAACTCACAGCATTTGAGTAGGGGAAGAATTGCTTGATTTTTTTTTTTTTTGTGTGTGATTTTGACTCATTTTAGACACATTTTTTAAATTATTCAAATGTGGCATCTATGTACCCCAACACTTTTCTCTGTGATATGTCAAATTTAGAAGATATTTATTTTCTCTTTCTTGGGACTAAGAATTCTGACTTTTGTGGAAAAAAAAAATGCACTCATCTCCCAGCTCTATATGGAAGTATGTTCTGATCTCCATCAAGACTTTATTTTTGACCCACGGGTCACTCTGGTATACCTTACCCTAGAATCCAAACAGGAAGGAGACTTTTTTTTAGCTGCCACTGTTCATGAATTAAAGCGTCTCTGTCATTTGGACTCCGTAACAAATTAACATTAACAACGTAGGAGGATGACTATTGCCTTCCCAGATGACAGATCACTCTCTGTACACAGTGTACAGTAATAATAATAATAATACTGCTTTTAGCAAGCCGCCTCAGCATGGACGGCAGCTACCATCTGCCCAGTGGTGCCGGAGTCCATCGCCACACACCAACTGTATTAACGACGAGATGGCTGACCTGACTCTTTTCCACCGAGGCGGTGTGCTTGTCGCACATGGGGCTGATCTCCATCCCTCGCTCCCTCTCCTTGTCGCCTTGCCTGAAGAACTCCTCCATGATTCTCTCTGTCCATTGTCGATACACGGCCAGAGGCTTGGTTGGGTTGCTCAAGTCGGCGCAGTGCACCATGTTCCTCAACACCTGCGCGGACACAATCGACGAGTTCTTTGCTTTGAGATGTTACCTCGTGATTCCCCCCCGCCCCCCCACTAACCACATGACGCAATGTGTCAAGTGTGGGGGGGGGGGGTGAAAAGCGTGCGCGCATGGCTGCCTGCCGCCTCCGGGTTGAGATGTCAAGGTCCCTCGAGCTCGGCGCACATAATAACGAGCGGCTGAGTCTTTCATTAAAGTGTTGCCCCGCGATATGTTGACAAAGTAGATCAAACTGAGCAAACTGAGATCAAATTGAAAATGTGCTGTGGGGAAGAGGATCAGGATCTCACAGCTGTCTGGAATCTGAAGGCACAAAATATTTGAGAAGGGCTCTTTTTTGAAGTTTGAGGCATTTTGTCTTCGCTAGTAACGAATAGCCATGATGTTCTTGTTTATTACATCATCCCCAGTCAGGTTTTCTTGAAATAAACTCACTCAAAATACAAGCAGGAGCAAATCAGAGTGAAAAGAAACATTTTGCTAAGATTATTTTACTCGATAATGCCTTTTTGTTTTCAGTTTCTTGCTTTGTTGAACTTTCTTTCGCTAGCTAACCGCCAATCGGTGTGGCCAATTGTCATTGATTCGCAGACGCCATTTTGTATACTAGCGAGCAACGGCTCATTCATTCAAATCATTATCTGAGAAGCACGACGACAACAATCTATTCATTAGTCACCATTCCAGAGGTTGATTTTTACTTCGGTTTGTTCCTGCTTTTATTATGTTGGGCAAGGTTGGCGTCGATGTGCATTTTGTTTCTTGAAAACCCTGACGGTGGATGGTCAGATTTTTCTGCCACGTTGATTATGTAATAAGGTGCCAAAGTAATGGTCTTGATTTATGGTCAGGACAAGAATGAAATCATTTCACTGTTATGAATGACTCTTTCACATGATGACTTATTTAGATCGATGGTCAGTCTAAATATACGGTGACAGAGCATCCGAGTGCCTCAATGTAATGCAACTGGTGTGGAAACGGTAGTAATGATCGGAACTAATGATCCACACCACAGAATCACGCTCATCTAGATGTGGGAGTGGCCAATGGGATGTTCGGAGAGCTCCGCCCCCTAGTCCGCCTTCCGTTCCCACCTGTATCCGATCGGTGTAGTGGTCCAGTAGCAGAACTCCCGAGCTTGTCACTTTCTTGGTTTCCACCATCGTTTTGAGGTCTGCCAGCAGGCTCATGTGTTTGGACATATCTGTGGCCAAAACCTGCACACACACATTTTCACTGATTATTTTTAGCGAGGGGATGATGTTTTACGGGTCATGAGCGTGGGTGGGGAACAAAAAAAAGTCACCATATCAATGACAAGTTTTCTCAGGCTTTGTCTCTGCCTCTTGCTGAGGTTCTGGAAGATGTCACAGTTGTCCTCATGAAGCAGCTTGAAGCCCACAGCCAGGTGATGGTTTTCCAGAACTGACTCGTCATTGTACATCAGAGCGAGTTCGGAGTCTGCAGGGTGTAACGCAGATGATATCTTGTACTCGCCAAATACTTCATATATTTAAAATCAAACTAAAACTAATACTAAAATTGATAAACCATAAATTAAAACAAAGCACTTTCGCAAAAAATAAAAACTAATAAAAAACCAAACTCAAATTAAGATGAACTCAATTTAAAAAACCAAAAGTCAAAACGAAATAAAAACTGACCATGTTGAAAAATCCCAAACTATTATCATCCTGAAGTGATGATGTGTTTGTCTGTCGTGTCATGCACATGCGTCTCTACTCACTGGTATTTATGAGGAACTGGTTGGACACTCCTGGATGGTCCACATCGTGGATGGCGGCCGCAAATAACGCAGCCAAAATCTCTAGATCAGTGAACACAGCCTGCCAAGGAACAAAGAAATAACACACGAGTGTCCTCTCCGAATGGGCCAATTGTGGACTTTACCGACTGTGATATGTTTAGCCATTAAGCATTTAGCGATATTTACATCTAGAGCCGGCGTAGACAGCAGTACGTGCGTGGACTGAGTGACATCTGCGGCGTGGAGGCTGTTGTGGTAGGCCACGTTGGCATGGTAATGGTCCTCCAGCGTCATCACATAGGTGACAAACGTATCCACTGGGATCCGAAAGGTCTTCAGGAGATCTCGCTCCTGTAGCCGGGAAGCAGCCAGTGTCAGTCATTGTCAACCCGCGTTGCTTATTGTGGCAAGCTAATAGTTTGTCTCGTGTGTTTTTGTTGTTATCTGTCACACAGTTTCACCCTTTAGCTAATGCTAAGGAAGTTAGCAGTTGCTTCTAACCGTGTTTGGACTGCAGTGTAGGCTACTGCCACTTATTCAATTACTCAAACATACAGACTACACGGTTTTAGAGCAGACTTTCCATCTCTCTGCCGGCGATATAGCGTAGCATTATTTATCACTCCCTCACGCGATAGCGGTGAAGTCACATGATCGTAAATATCTGGATTGAAAAAAAAAAAAAACACTTCTGGGGCATCAATACAAAACAATCAAATAAAAAATAAGAAGTAGAGTAACTGACTGTGCCTTCCTGTGCTTCGAAGAAGAATATGTCAGAGTAGCAGCTCGTGCTGCATCTAAACCAATCCTAGTCAACTCATAAGGAGTGTGTTTTAACCAGTGGCGGGCTGTGAATTTGGAAGCGGGCCATCGGTAGGGACTTACTTGATTCAACACTACCGCTATGACGTCACAATTACAGCAACCATCAATTTAAAAAAACAACTTACAGCCCACCATAACTCACAAAGGGAAGGCTGCCCTGATATTACAAGCAACTAAGCAGTCTTTCATTGGTGCATCGACTTCCGCACCTGGAAGATGGCAAACATAATGCAGCTCAGGGGTCTGTTGTTCGAGAACTCTGCCACACGAAAGATATTAAGGCCCCACTTGTTCAAGTCATTCAGCTCCTGAAGACAAAGCATCATTGCAAGCGAGATCAAAACACAATTAATACAACCGGACAGGAAATGAAAAAGTGAAAATTTTTTGGGGGGGAGAAAGCTCGAGAAATTAGCGTCGAGTGATTGTTTGTTTACTCTCCACTCACTCTGGCTAACGCATCCTCGTGTTCAGTCTTGACGCCGAAGCGAGGCAAGGTGGAGTTTGAAAGGCTGGAACTGTGCGTGAGTTTCTTCACGCCGCTGATGTGACACATGGGCTTGTCTCGCTCCCTCAAGGTCGGGGACGGGATCTCCACCTCGTTTTGCTTATCTGCCGGAGAGAGGATTTCAGTCCGGTTAGTTGCCGGCAGGGATTGGAGCCTTATTACGGAAAGCCGCGTGCAGAGGTTCGACTTACCTAGAAAGGTAGTGGAGATGTATTCAGACACCTGGTTCCCTGAGCGACTCATCTCTGACAAATGGGACAACTCCCTGTTCAGCATCCTCTTGAACTGAAGAGAGCGCAAACATATTGTTCATCGGATTTGGTGAGAGGCTCGAGACTTGACGGCGCTAGAAAACCCTTCGATGACATACAGAGGTCAAATCGTTTTAAGCATTGCTGTTATAAATGTGAACGGCATCGAGTATATTTTTAAACGAATTGTCGTTCCATGCGATCCTTTTCTTGATGTTTGAAGATTTGCGACGTTCCATTTCTCGGGGGTTCACGGGGTTACATCGCCAGGTGTCTGGTTATGATGTCAACAAATAGCTTTGAAAAGGATTGGGGGTTTTTTTTGGCTCACTTTTATTTTTCGTGGCTATTCTTTCGAGTTATACAGTGAAACTCCTCTACAACGAAACCTACATGGGCGAAAATGCCTTCTAGTGTGAAAAAAAATTTCATGCATGAAAGCAATTCCCACTTTTCCCCTTGTGTGTGTGTGTGTGTGTGTGTGTGTGTGTGTGTGTGTGTGTGTGTGTTTACATCTGAGATAAAATTTGCTACAGTGAAAAGCCCCCTGTTGTGAAATATTTCTTGCTGCAAACATGATTTCGTTGTAGAGAAGTTTCACTGTATTTAAAGTTGAGTTTTTGGTAGTTGAATAAATACTAAGTTTGGAAATACCTTTGAAAATGAATCATTGTGTTGATTGATCGTGGTCTCAATGTCTATCAAAATAATCATGATTATTGCGGGGGGGGGGGGTTCCAATAATCACTCAGCCCGAAGTCACACCTACAGTGAACTTGAACTGGGTCTCATTCATAACTCATTTGTATCTTTTTTTTTCCCCCAAACCCTTTTGCTCATAAAATAAAGACCACAAAAGACAAAGTATTTACTCGGGTTATTATTTATCCTTGTAAGGAGTTCAACAACATTGTCAATCTTTGTGAAGGTGTAAATTTTGATACAGGCCTTGACCCGGATTTCATGAGATTGTGCAGGTGAAGAGTTCTCTTAGTGTACATCCAGAATATACTGTATATATTTAAAGCTCACAAAGAGCGAAACCACCCTTCTTTTGAGTCACACGCGTTGAATTCAATCATCATGATGATCATCACTGCGTCCTTATTCACAAACGGTGAGAAAATCAATTAGAATTCATGACACCTTTTTTTCCCCCCCACACAATAATAATCCATTGCATGATAGTGATGGCCATCTACTGTTGTGCAATATCAATCTGGTTGCTTTTATCATTGTTGCATTTTCCCTCAAAGATGTTTTCACACCTTGTATCAAGCAAGCTTTTTTTTTTAATTATGATTAGTAGAAGGTAAAAGCAAAAGCATGTCTGAATGCCGAAGGCACAATGCGATGTCCTACTGACCGATCCCTCACACAAAACAATCTCTTAGGCAACCCGTGCGAGCGGTTGCCGTGGCAACTCCTTCCTCGCAGCCAGTCACTTGATGCGAGAGCGCTGGCTTGCTTGGGTGACAATTCAAAAAGGAGTAGGCAGGTGTCTCTGACCTTTCCCAAGGTCAACTGACGACTGCCCCGCCCCCACCCCCACCTTCCTTCCTTCCTGGCTCTCATACGCGGCGTAAAACGCCGTGACGGCCTGAAAAGCAACCCCCCTCCCACTCCCCCGTTGCTCCTTGCCATTTTATTTACCATCAGTCACCGTGATCCGCGCCTGCCCAAATAGGTGCTCTGACAGGCTGTCGGGCGGGATCAGGGAGGCCGAGCGTAGTTGTACTTTAAGCCCCCAAACCGCCTCCCCTGACGCTCTTCCTCGCGCATTTTTCCCCTCACGCTGAATGCTGTAACGCTGAGTCATAGCTGCCAACCGACACTAGTACGGCACCAGGACAAACAACGCTTCCTCTGACACGGACTAATGAAAGCGAGCGCTGGACAGACATGATGCACACGTGCACAAATGCAACATACGTACAGGCAAGGGCCATTGTGTCTTTCCTCTACTGGATAAAATGGTTCTCTGGTGTGCGCATGTGACTGGAAACAGTAGCATGCAAATCAATCAACAGTCGAGTTTGACTTCCCGGAGTACATTTTCTTAACAAATGTGTTCAGGCTTAGATTTGGAGCAAAAATGCAAATAGGCACCCATGTGAGCCCGAAGAGTAAAGAGTCCACTGCAAGAATATAACTAGCCTTAAAAAAAACAAGAAAGAGAAATGAAATCAGCAATATTTTACTTGGAAAAGCAAAATTAGCTGCCGATAAAAGAAGAATAACTGACTATTGGTTGGTCAGTTGATAAGTCAACATCGCTGATCTCAATACCCGCCACCGACTTTTTGAAACAAATGTATTCTTTTCTTCTTTGAAGATAAACTTACTCATAGCAAGTAATCAAATATCGCTAACACAATAGAATACCATTCATCCATCCATTTTCCGATCCGCTTTATCCTCACAAGGGTCGTGGGGGGGGGGGTGCTGGAGCCTATCCCAGCCGTCTTCGGGTAGTAGGCGGGGGACACATCGCAGGGCACACAGAGACGAACAACCATTCGCACTCACGCTCACACCTCGGGACAATTTTGAGCGTTCAATCAGCCTGCCGTGCCTGTTTTTGAAATGTGGGAGGAAACCGGAGTACCCAGAGAAAACCCACGCAAGCACGGGGAGAACATGCAAACTCCACACAAGGAAGGCCGGAGCCAGGATCAAACCCACTAACTCTGCACTGTGAGGTCGACGTGCTAACCACTTGGCGGGCCGCCCACAATTGAATACCACAATACTTTAAAGTAGTTAATGTATCAAGCAAGTGACATACTTAGGCTTGCAAAAGAAATATCTTTGTCCAAGTTTAGTACACATACGTCATATCCTGTATGAACCTTATTACAACTACAATTTTACTATTTGACATCCGTTGCAGGTCGATCATTGTATACGTTGTGAAAAACTACAAACGTTCTTCCACAGAAACTAGAAGCAGAGATATCATGGTTAAAAAAAAAGCCATTTCTGCCTTGATTTGAGATATTTCATGTTCGATTTTAGTTTTTGAGGTGTAGATCTCACCCCTGTCATTTCTGAAATTGCAGAGCATGTATAGAAGTGACGTTTGGGTAAGCAAACTCAAAAATGCAAAACAAACTTTGTCTTCCCTCCCTGGGAGATGCTCTCAAGCTCCTCCAAATGATGGATGCAAACAACCCAGAGTTTCTAATGCATGCAGAGCTGGGACACTCGATGACTCCAGCAATCTAAGATGGCCACTGCCGAGCCTCGTTTGTCCTCTGTTCGGCCTACCTGGTCCCACCAGCCGATGAGCCACGGCCTAGAGCAGGTCTCGCAGAACAGGTCAACCAAGGGGGTCCTGCGTTGCGCCGTCGTCCCACCCCCCTCCAGGATCCCTCCGGCCGCCTCACCGAGGTCCAGCTCTGCCCCTGCCCTCCCCTGCAGCAGGCTGTAGCTGGAGGAGCGGGACAGCCGGTAGCCCCCCGGCACGGGTGAGGGACAGGGGGACGGCGTGGGGTCAATGGCCTCCACCACACCCATGCTGAGGGTGACGGGGGGCTTGGGCCGGTGGCACAGGCAGGAGGTGCGGAAGTGGAGCGGGGTGGGAGCACTGCAGGTGCCCCATTGGCATGAGGGTGTCGTCAGAGTGCGCGGGGAGAGGCCAGGGCACTCCAGAGTGAAGGCTGCCCCGAGAGGGGGTAAAGGAACGGGGGGGAAGGAGGGGGGTGGGGGCAAGGGAAGGGTGCCGACTATCCTGGCCTACATGCAGCACCCCAAAGTGGCCCACCAAGAGACGGCTCCAGCTTCACTTGCGAGCTAAAGACGCGGGGGCCCAGGAGCCCCTCCTGGATCTGGAATCTGCGGAGACTACATCTCATCCCATTTGGTGATCGGGCTGACCCGAATGTAGAGCCACCGCAGGATCAAGGGAGATGGGAGCGGAGAGAGGGAAGATGGAGGTAAACAGAGAGGGTCCGTCTGAAGGGCACCGAGACGAGCCTGGAGACCAAGATGTAGCCGAGGATAGAGAGACGGGCAGGATGAGGGAAGCTCGACTGACATAAAAAGAAGACGGTCAGACGACGGAAGTAGACGAGACGGGCAGGCGCCGCAGGACGACCCGGGTATTCAACAATGGAGGCAAGGGGAGCAGCGAGAACATGGGGAAGATGGCAAGATGAGAGAAGAAACACAGATGGGGGGGAAAAGAAATCCTGGGACGGTTCTTTCTAGCCGTGGTTTGGAAAAACAGACTCCGTCTCCCTGCGTCGACCGCCCCTCCCCCACGGTACGGCTCCGAGAGGGCCAGACCAGTCCTCGTATGAGTGGATCAACCCCGTCTGTCCCCCGAGTCGAGCTCAACGACCCGCTCCGTGTCACTCCGAGCTCACAGGATGCCGGAGAGCGAAACCCGCCCGCCTTCAGCAGCCACTTCTCCTCCTCCTTCCGATGCCGTCTCCTCTGGCACCTCTTATTTCCCCGGGATGCCGTAGACTGGCTCTCGCAAGCTAATCAGGTGGTGTGGCTGCACGCGCATGCACGTGCGTGCCTGCGCCTGCTGCCTTCTGCTGGAGGCCTCAGTGCGCCTGCGCGGCGAGACGGCGTGTACGTCTGTCAAGAATATGCCCGTGTGTGTGTGTGTGAGAGAGTGAGAGACTGAGTGGGAAGACAGTAATCAAGTGTCTCCATGTTGGATCTCTGTAGGTCGCTTGCAACGCAAAGCCTCCGTTTCACCCCCTTGAGACGTTTTGACACAAAACAACACCCAACCAAATCCTCATTGTTCATCTACAGAGCTGAGCATGTAAAAAAAAAGATGAGCAAGAGGAGAGATGATGTTCCACAGAAAAAAAAAACGGTGCCTGTTGCTTTAAGATGCAACACTACTACAAGAGCGTTGCCTGCGATGTCATTGGATGCCACCCGGACCACATGGCTTGCGGTCAGAATGGCGAGCCAATGACGAAAAGGCAGAGGCAGAGCCTGCTGCCGTTCGATAGCAACCAAGGTTACAGAGGAGACATCAGCATCAGGACCACTACACCCCTCCCACCGCGCATAAAGCATGTCCTCACCACCCACAGGCTGTCACTAAGTCCGCTCTCGCTGGCCTGCGCACGCACGCTCAAGACGCTGCGTACACATATTGTCATGAGGGCGCAGCAAAGCATGATTATGCGCGATGCCACACATAAGAGCTGTGATTCCAAGCTACTGATGTGTAGTGACAGGCAGAGCAATAAAATGCTCTTCCATGGCGGAAGGTGTGTAACCCATCAGATTTTTCAAATGCAAAATGTGTGCCTTGGCTCAATCACAATTGGGAAATACAGTATATATTTATCTATCTATCTATCTATCTATCTATCTGCGGTGTTGCTTTCAGGGACAGTTTGTCAACAGCCATTGTTTTACATGCCTTTCAATCCATCTATCCCTCCATCTATCTGCTTATTTATCCATAGATCCATCCAGCCATCCATCCTTGCAACATGATGCACAAGTGGTTAGCTCATCTGCCTCACAGTTCTTGTCTTTTGGATTTGAATTGCGGGTGTTCAAGCTTCGACCAGCAATCCAAAAGTAATTAAAATTATTCAAGTTACATGACTTTAATATTATGATACTTGGATAATATTGCTAAATTCATTTTAGAACACGTAACAAACGAACTGTATGTCGAACGAGTTGTTGGTCAGTACTGGAAGTTTGTGCAGTGTTTGGTTTGTGTACAGGGGGGCAGACAGGCACCTTGTTGGAGGCCATCTCGCTGACCGATCGGTGGGTCTGAATAGTCTCCAGCTGGTCCAGACACCAATCCAACTCTTCAAGTGTCTCCCGAGCCATCTGCTGGTATGTCTCCTCTGGGAGAGGGAAATACACAATTTAACCAAGCACAACCGTATACACACACACACACACACACACACACACACACACACACACATATATATATATATATATATATATATATATCTATCCCAGTACACAGTATCCTGTGTACTTTTACTGATTTTTTTTTTGTATTTGCATTTTTGTTCATATAAATAATGTTACCAATGTACACATTTATTTTTATATTATTATTATTATTATTATTATTATTATTATTATGATTATTCCTTAATTGATTATTATTTTTACATGACTTGGGATGAAACAATCTTACCAGAGAGGGTTGCTTGAGGAACGGTGGGTTGACTTGTGACGGGCGACCTCCTGTGGACAAAAATATAATGACATCAGAAGCAGAACCGCACGCTGCTGCCCCCTGTCGATCTTTGACACACTTTTCACCGTGAGGACAACCAACGCTTTGGACACTGGGGCTGGCTGCGAAATATTTCCACGTATGGAATTCAGTCCTACTTCGTGTAGGCACAAAACGGCGGTAACCATGCATTCAATTGCTGAATTGTGACTTAAGATTTCATGTGCTCTCCCCCTCAGCCCCAAAATACATCTAAAAATGTGTGTTATGCTTGAAATAATCCCCCAAAAAGTCAAAAGTGTGTACCGTGCTGTTTGCTGCAAATAGCCTTCATCGTTAAGCAACGAGGCGGCAGGCATTTTAAGGACACCGCTGCATAATTATAGAATGCTGATCATTCTGCTGCATTGCTTTATATATCATATTGATGTGGAGGCTGAAGGACTGCCAAAAACCAATCGGCTTGTGTCTATACTGCATCACAAAAAAAGAGCATCCTTTTTAGAGTTATTGACCATGTCGTTACACGAGACGCCAAGGATAGAAAAGTGTGCCAACCGCTGAGGCGGAGAAGCATCGAATAAAGCTGGATACACCATGCTGATAACCGATTCGATTTGGAGACCGATTCGCCACTTTCGATCAAAATCAGCAATGACTTGATTGATGTCTCTGTAAAATTAGGCTCGGTGATTCCACTAATGAGTTTGACCAAGCCACGGACTCCGCGTCGGTAATGTGATACGGAGGGATAGCCGGCTAATAGTGTGTAAACGTACCAATATTTGAGCATTTGCCCGCTTTTACCTCAAAGCTTTTACAAAGGCCCGATTATCTTGAGCTAAAGTTGTTATGTGCTGCTTAAATAGAATTTAAGAGCGCCAAAATGATGATAGGCATATGCGGTGCCCAATGAGGCTGCAAACGAAAACACACGAGGCCAGGATGAGCGTAATTATTGGGGGCGAGGCGACATGATACTGACTTGTTCGTGGGTGTGGTGACATTGGCGAGGATGGTGAAGTTGCTTCTTACAGATCGTAGACTGGCCAACACCTGAGGAAGGCGGGAGAGGTGAGACAACAGTAATGAGACAACTTATTGACAACAAGTGGCATGCTTTTGAAATATCGGCAACACACCTGAGCGAAAGGGGTGACAATCATGTCTTCAGCGTGCCTGTGGATGAACAGTGTTTAAAAAAAAAAAATGTCTGTGGCTTTCCATGAAGATCGGAGCACTTCTTAAGCATCCAATCGAATTGCTCCGATGTCTTTGCCGCTCACAGCCTCGTGCCGTTAACACTCAATCATCGCCACTGACGGGTCGAGACGTCAAAGATTCATTTTAGCCGAGCTGCATCGAATTAGTTACAGTTATTGGACGATTCATCAGCGCGTAGCGCCTGCTGGATTTGTGGCCACTGTTAGAAACGTCATCAATTCAGATTTCTCTTTGGAGGTTAAGTGGGACAAAGTTGGGAGCACGGCAACAAATGTGACGGATCCGGGTTGATGTCTGCGTTGCCTACCCCTCGCTGTTGATGGAGGAGTTGCGTGACATGGTTTTGGGGGATGTGTCGTAGTCGGAGTCAGAGCGGTACAGGAAGGACTCCCTGCGCTGGCTCTGGGGGAAGGAAGGGTGCAGCACCAAGCCCGGACTCGCCTGCGAATCCATGGGACTGCGTCCCGGCGACGGGCCATTCTCCGAATCGAAGCTGGAGGGGGAGGAGGAGGAGGATGGAAAATGTGAAGATGTGAACCCGTTTGATCGTGACACCAAGTTGCGACACGATGAAAGCGTCGCATTTCGTCTGCGCGTGTGAGTGGGGGGAAAAAAAAGATATGACACGCGCAGCTCGCAGCTGTTGGATGGCACGCCGCCACGAGGCTGCTGGAAATGACGCTTTACTGACACATTATATTCGCCGGCAAAATTAGATGCATCAATCCAGCTTCGCGCCAAAGACATACTGTTCCAAAGATGGCGCTTTTATGCTCCTTCGACACTGAGCGCACCTTCACAATCAACAGGAGCTGCTTCAAAAATCGTGTCTGTACAAAGATCATGAAAAAGAAGATTTTTAGGCCTATAGAGGCTCTTCCTTTACGTGGTGTTTATATATATCCATCCATTTTCCGATCCGCTTATCCTCACAATGGTCGCGGGGGGTGCTGGAGCCTATCCCGGCCGTCTTCGGGCAGTAGGCGGGGGACACCCTGAACCGGTTGCCAGCCAATCGCAGGGCACACGGAGACGAACAACCATCCGCGCTCACGCTCACACCTATGGGACAATTTAGAGTGTTCAATCAGCCTGCCATGCGTGTTTTTGGAATGTGGGAGAATACCGGAATACCCGGAGAAAACCCACACAGGCCCGGGGAGAACATGCAAACTCCACACAGGAAGGCCGGAGCCGGGATCGAACCCACGACCTCTGCACTGTGAGGTCGACGCACTGGGCCGCCCTAATAATAAGAATATATATGTGTGTGTGTGTGTGTGTGTGTGTGTGTGTGTGTGTGTACCAAAATATGATTCCTTACAGTGGTGACTGGCATGGTAACACTTTTTATCTTGAATACAGAATTCATGAGGTTAATGAGGGGTATTTAACAAACTTCTCACATCAACAGCCATAAAGGGCATGACTGAAATATGCCCAATTTTTATTACCGGTAAAAAAAAAAAATCAGTTGAACTTCGGTACAAAATGGCGATGAAAGCCATCCATAAAGTCCGTCTCGATAACTACACTGTGCCTCTCCCAAACACGGGACCCCAATGTAGGAAAATTGGTCAAAGGGTGACACCTTTGCAAACTTTGCAGTGTAAAAATCTTCAAACCTATGCAACGGAAAAAGTCTATCCGCAAAAAAAAAAAAACAAAACAACAAAAAAAAACTAAGGACAGAACGACTTGAGGTCAAAGGTTTGCACCAAATGGCTTGGTAAATCATTAACATTGCTGTTTATCCTTCATATGAAAACTAAAGAAGTTGACGAATGACATCACAGAAAGTTCGGGATATTCTGCGTTCAGATTAAATTTCATTTATTTTGTGCAGATGCAGAACTGCGCTGCGGGGTAATGCCGTGCATCTGTGTGCCAGTTTTTGTGCATTTTGTTTCTTTCGACATTGTTACTTTTCACTTGTTCGGCTGTGTCGTCAAAAGTGGCTTGCAGTTCGATGAGGCCGCTATTCATTGCCTTGGCAGCTGCGTGGGTTGCATTCAGGGACACCTTGTAAACGAAGGTGAATGAGTTCTTTCTGTCTTTCTGTGCTGTATTGGTGAAGCGTTCGGGGGAGTTGACGTTAGTATCGGGTGCCACAAACGATGGGATCACAAAATTTTGTTTTTGTTTGAAGCAGCGGCTGTGCGGAGCGACAGTTCGCCACATTCAATTGTGGCCTGTAATGTGCGTGCCGCGTTCTTATGCATAGTGACAGAGGCGCCACATAACTGAAATGCCTTGTGTTAAGGGCTACGATACTCGGATGTTAAAATGTCAGTCCTATCAAGTTGTTGCTAAAATAAAAATGTACAAACAAAAGTGAAACGTATGCTATGTTCATTCAAGAAAAGTTTGTGTTTCGTTTTTTTTTTTTTTTTTTTTTTAAACAATGAATATCGAATCCAGTCCCATCACAATTGCAAAGTGTGATGACGTGATCAATTAGGTCAAAGTCAAATCAACGTCACAAAGTAGTAGAATGCGATTTCCAAATCGCAAAAGGCTGCAATGTGGAAAAAGGAAAACACTTTCATTTCAGCCGAGTGTTTGCGCCGTTGAGGGAGTGAACACAGCATGTGAAGAGGGAAAAAAAAAATCACATATTAAATCACAATCATGTTAGTGAAGGAAGGGGAGAATCGAAATCAGTGTCAATGCTCATTTGTCAGTTCTTGTTTTCGTCCATGGTCCGGAAAAAAGTGGAATCCTTCCAAAACACATTCAGAGAGACTGGAAGAGTCACAGAAAGGCCCTGAAGTGTGAATTTAAAAAATAAATAAATAAAAGCTTTCATTAATTTTGCGATTCATCTCCTTATTA